CGCACACACAACCACACCGTACGCCACGCCACGCACGCACGCACGCACACACACACACCACGCCACACACATATATATATATATATATATATTATATATATATATATATATAACCCTGTACGATCAACCCTATCTACCCTCTTCTTCTTACATCGGCGGCTCTTTCCATTAATTTTCCTCCGCCCGCATCAACTACCCCCCTTAGCTTTCCCCCCTTGCCATTCTCCTTCAAACATTTCTTTCTTCAATCTTACTTCTCCCATATTTCCTACTTATCTCTAGCGTATCTTCGCCTTCGTCAACTTCTACTGGTCTTCCAACCTCCTATACTAAACCTCCCCCCCCACTTCACACTCTTCTCATACTTCTTATACACCGATCTACTAGCGTATCTCCTTCTTCCTTATATCTTTCCCTCTTCACCTGTTTCATCATTTCTTCCGTTGCATCCCACTCCATCTTTCCTCCTCTGTTTGCGCCTCTTTCATTTCTCTTTCTTTGTCATTCACGCATTCTGATATATTAGAGCATTCATCTGTATTATTATTTGTTTTGTAATTATGCCCTAGAATCAGAAGTAAGATGTTTGTTTATTACGTTTTATTATTATTATTATTTAGATTTATTATTATTCATTATTATTATTATTATTATTGTAAGTATAGTGTAGTGTTAGTAGCAGTAGCAGTCGCTAAGTCACCCCATTTTCATTACATGCGAACATATTTTTTCGTAGTGTTAGAGCAAATAAAGATTAGTCGTTTTAAAATTTGCAAGAATGTGAAACTGTGCTTAATTTATATATTACACCTGTGCATGCCACCTACCCTCTTATCGTTAATAACGTTTAGTGTACTCTTAATTGGCTGCGCGAGAGGGCGCTTCACACACATTGTCGGCGCTTGAACGCCGCGCGCAGGGACGGTGGTGTAGGCCACCTGTACCGGTTGAAGAGCGAGAGAATGACCAGGGTAGGTCTAAGATTTTTCGAGTTAGAGACCGGAAGTGTTCACGCAGATCACTTCCTTATTCTGCCTTTCGAAAAGCCAAACAAAGCTGTACCGATAGACGATAGTAAATGAGTATGTGTTTTGTTCTACTAGTGCCTGAAGCGTTGCGCGTTTCCGTGACAAGAGGAGGCTGAATAAATATCCGTTTGACGATGTAATAGCTCGCGGCTGGTTGGCCTGCCATTCTCGACAAACGAATTACTTAGCACACAAGCAAATTAACATCACGACTGCTTTGTGCTTCACATCTCAATACGGCCAACTCAATCCACTCATAATTGTCTGTTGTCTCGGAAACACAGTCACGCGTAAGTGACGGGTGACAGATGGGGAAACGGGTTCACACGATGGACTGCCGCCCACTCGGCCGCATTAATAACTGTTGTTCTTTGTAACTGCTACATGTCAGTGTTTTACTCTTCCCTGCCCAAGTTGTCTCAAATATGAATGAATGTCATTGTCTCTGACAACTTGCCAGAAAGCAAGTGTTACGAGCTTATGCACAACCGGGCCCGACTTCAGTTTTTTCGGGTGTCTGATTAGTCATGCAACTTTCAATACCTCTGCAAGCACAAAGTCAAACTTCGAATTATATTTGATTAAAATTCAGTTTATATGTGATTTTTATTTTCACCTGATTACGCGACGTCGAACACTTGAATAATGCACAGACGCCCGGATGCTGGCTCGGTGGTGCAGATGCTAGAAATGGAATGACGACGAACGAACGACGAAATCTTATTGTTGACTTATCTCCAGCATGAATGCTACTAAACCGCTCACAAAACTGAGACTGCGCTAAACTCACGACCCTGATACACACGCGTGCGCTGATGCGCTGGCCGGCGTGCGCGCGATGCTGCGGTAGTGTACATGCAATGGGTTCACCAACATATCAAGTCAACTGACACGGTAAACATGCTTGTTTC